CAAGACTGGTGCCATTTCGTCCCAAGCACAACCTTGCTTTCTTTGTGAACCCATAAAAAGGGGATGTGTCGAAGCTATTACTAACAGTACTACTCCAACTTCTGAGCTCCACTATTATTTGGCGCCGGAACCGAGGAAAGGTTCGTTTCCATGACCAAGGCCATCATTTACCTTCAGTAGCGAATTTGAGTGAGATGGAGAATCAAGCAGGAAAACTTATGACCCCAATCTACTCCCAGGCGAACGGCATACACGAGAACTCTGCTTCCTACGACAGTGGAACTTCAGCAAAAACAACTTATGCTCTTTCTCTGACGTAGGCTAAACTTCTGGAAAAATGTCTGAAATCAAGTCCCACACAAACTTCTTCATTCGCCCATTACTCACTCGAATCGCACGAAAACATTCTTATCGACGTATACTGCGCAGATAAACAGAAAGGTCAAAAAAAGACAGAAGATAACAACTCGTGGAATCACAATTTTCAACTCCACAAAAAAATCTAGCAGGGTTTGTAGCAAAGGAAAGGTCCTTCTTGCTATCAAGCGGACTTCTGCTTGTTCCCTGAGTAGTAGTACTAACAACATCGTATGCCAACTATCCATAATCCATAGAACTCGAGGTACAGTCCATCCTGATATACTGAAAGTGCCTGATAAAGAATCGCACGCCCCACTCCACCCTACACCCCCCTTCAACTCGATCCCCCAAATGGGATCTATGTCAATTAAAAAGTCATCAAAGGAACTTAAAGATTATGAACTATTTCAAATGAAAAGTCACCCTGCGAGCTTTATCCAATACCTGTTCCTTATTTTTAATGTAAAGAAGGATATCTGCAAGAGATACAAGCTGGAACGGTCCCTTTACTGTACATTTACAAACGGTAACACCCAGATGCTGAAAATAAGCTCGGCTGCAACCCTCTGCAAGCAAGAAACTGACTTCTAATCTGACCAGGCTATGCAATTAAGTCTGCACAACGACGGCTAAGCCCATTCCGCATAGCCGTGGCGCAAATTAGTCGTTAAGCTTTATGCAGGAGATTATCGTATCGGTCACAATCATATTGAATTAATAGCCGTATAGCGACCCCATTTCTGACAAAGAGCCAAACTTTATTGGAAGGAACTGTGGTAGTTGAATATAGCGAAAAAAGAAAATTCGGGAAGATTTTCGGTAAATGAACTACTTCAAATGAATCTACACCAGACAGGAGTGAGAGGAAGCCAATTTTTTTCTTCAACAGGAGTCACCACCTGAAAGGAATACCTAGAAAGACACTCCAGTCAAGCGACAAACAAGAGGCAAACTCTGCTAACAATAAGGTTACTGTATCACAGCTCAAAAAGTGGAATGTGCATAAACAACATAGATACAAGATTCAATGGCTGGACACATAGTTGTTAAAGGCCTCCTTCTGATGGCTCCAGCAATTCATAGAAAAAAAGCCGAGCCATCAAAATACGTCATAGTTATATAGCCTCCTTCATCGTTCTCAAGAAGTTATTCAAAAGAATCAAAAAGGAAAACGGCCTTGCGAAAATGCATCAGAGCTACACAGTTCACGATAAGAATGAATTCTGAGATTCCCCCTAGAATGAAACTGTGGCTCCCAAGGATAGGATGTGGGAAATTGACGGGTCGAGGAATGACTTCGATAGAGCTTTATAAAGGCTTAAAACTGGTAGACGTGCACACCCTAAAGTGGCCATGTTATAACGGCATTATTAGGACTTCAAAATTTACAATGAAGCGTTAGGACGCCAAGGAATAGGACGCATAAGTGGGAGACACCCAGACGATTAAAGACACATAATCTCATACAACACTCTTTCTAACTACTTTCTTGAAACCTTGTATTTCTTAAAATCCGCAGATTTTCGCTTTGTTCCACTACTCAACTGACAGTATTTCATATCAACGAGGTATCTCAGAATTATCGTGAAGTGTGCCTTTAACTCCTTCTCCCACTTTAGTCCTACTTTTCAAATGGTATTAATTATCCTCTAAGGGCAGCCTTCTGAAATCTGAAAACCACTTGAACCAGTTCCTCTTCAAGGTCAGGCGTTCAACGCCAATACTCGCTGTCCATTAGGCCTCCTCTACTGACCTTAATCGTAACCAAAGGGGAATTTCCAAGGTGAAACATCGCCCTATAATTAGTCTATTCCATCGTAAATCTCCGTAGGAGATATAACAGTTATAATCCTTGGGGCATCCTCAGATGCGGTAAGATGATTGTGGGTGGCCTTAAACATTATAAGTTATTCATGGGTCAATGGATTAACTCCATGTCCTCCTGCGATTCTACACTGAAGTTTAGTAAGTGGTACTTCCGAAAATTACTGGGCAATGACTCACAAACCATTGTTCGTTCTCCAGAAATTTCAGTGACAAGAGAAGTTTATATGGAGAGAACAAGGANACTTCCAAACGGCATTAATTATCTTCTAAGTGCAGCCTTCTGAAATCTGAAAACCACTTGAACCAGTTCCTCTTCAAGGTCAGGCGTTCAACGCCAATACTCGCTGTCCATTAGGCCTCCTCTACTGACCTTAATCGTAACCAAAGGGGAATTTCCAAGGTGAAACATCGCCCTATAATTAGTCTATTCCATCGTAAATCTCCGTAGGAGATATAACAGTTATAATCCTTGGGGCATCCTCAGNGCAATGACTCACAAACCATTGTTCGTTCTCCAGAAATTTCAGTGACAAGAGAAGTTTATATGGAGAGAACAAGGAAAAGATATACGTGGAAGGAATGCTAGTCAAATGTGAAATCCATGGAAAAACGAAGAGTAACGCCAACTGCCTTTCAGCAAGTGCACAGCATTGTACAATGAATTGAGCCATTACTGAATACAAATCAGAACAGAATCCGTCGAGAAAGTAGGACATAAGGTCAATTATTGATACAAGAGCGAAGAGGCGACTGGCGATATTCTAGGAGGGCCTGGGTTAATATGCTCGTAAAAATTTATCGCTCCACCACAGGCTTTATGGCAAGATCTAATTGTAAGAAAAAAGAGCAGCCGTATAGACTATACACAGGCGGATAGGGATCAAGGGCGTCGTCATCTGTTCATTGCTCTAAAAGGGCGCAAGGTGTATCCGGCCACCTCAGATCGATATGGTGGGGTATGAATAGCGGGCGACGACGAGTGGCTAAACGTCGACCGACACCGTCGGTGACGGGCCGCGGCCGTCGGCTGCCGCCGCTGGGCTTCGGAACGATCATAGTTCACAGTGAATGCGATCCGCAAACACCGGGTTGCATGTCTGCGTCGCTTCGTCAGCACTTCTGGCGATGTCGGTAACTATGCCTGAACATGCGAAGTTCGAAGCATCCACGAACCAGGTCAAAGAATATGCAGCGCTGGCACGGCTCCCTGGATCTTTTTTTCAAATGTAGATCTCCTACAGGGTGAAAATTCTTTCGAAATTGAAGCTCCACCGCAAAGATAGCCAAAATTTCACTTGCGTTACGATTCGGAACACGTGGGAGAGACGTCGCTGAACGACGAAAATGAGGAAGGAAGCGGCCTTACGGCTCTGCAGGGCTGATGCATCACAGCCATCAGGCCCAGGCAATTTCGTAACTGACGAACGCGTCGCTATCAATCAGAACCGCATTTGAATAAATAAAATTTAATCATATTAACACATTTTTCATTTTTCTGCTTCTTTTGATTGAAGTTACCTCGGACTGCATGCAAGCAAACTTTAAAACAAGTTTTACTGATAGAACTAAAAGATTCGAATGAAGAAAGAGACAGCAAACATCAGAAGTCTTGTTTTTGTTTTCTTTTGTGTTCTTTTGTGTTCAGTTACCCTTTTTGTTCAGTAAGGGGTAATCAGAGAGTCCTCCGGGAGTTCTCGTCAATGACTGTGATTAACAGAACAGATCGCCTCCAACTCTAGGGATTATGCGAAAGGCATGCAGAAAAGCCATGGTTGGAGCTATTTTAGGCTGTTTTAAAGTTTGGAACAATGAAAGACTCAAAAAAATTCAGCAACCGTAGCACTCAGTTGTATCTGAATCCATTGGATCTGCACTCAGAGTTGTACAGATCCAATGGATTCGCCCACATCTGCTCTTCCCTAGGTGATTTCCTTGGGAAAACATATTAGCCGTGTCGCACCACTTCGGCGCCGCCGGGTCTCACCACGTACAAGGACCGCCATCGAACCTCCAGTCCCCACCGAAAACAAAAATAAATCGTCACAAAGACCAGCGATCAAGAAATGGCAACCAATTAGGTGCTCAGTCCTCCTATGCTTAGGTCCCTGGCCTTTGACCGTTTTTTCAGCGATGACATAAGGGAAACGAATCACTGTCTAACATACCATATGAGTCAGAAAAAGAGCTGTCATGAAAGGCAAAACAACAATGACGCAAAAGCAAATCGGTCCATGCCAAAAATATTACGGAAAATTGCGTCACCGAAGCCAATTCTTCAAAGAGACTCGTCGGCGCGATGAAATGGCGGCGGCACGAACTTCGGTCAGCTTAAGCCAGCCTGTGGACTGCAACAGACAGAACGAGCAGGATTGCTGTGCAGAGGCGAATGGGCGATGGAAAAAGTGGACGCCGCCCCCCATAGGATGGAAAGATCACCTCCTTTCGTTCAGCGAGCGGCAGTTCGATGACGGGCGGCTATGCCGACTTGTGACTTGTTTACAACATCGCCACGGCGTTCAGATAAGTGACTCTGATAAGTTCAAGACCGACGCCAACCCTTCTATCAAATCCGATTAGAAAACTACATTTTCCATATGACACGCATGCTGCCCGCGGTCGCTGACCATATTTGATAAGGGCTCATTCTGATAGAGCGACATTGAGACCAAGGAACAATTTTTGTTAACTAGAAATTCCATGGGCTTTTTCCGAAATCTAGTGAATCTGAGCCAAATACGTTTAGCAATCCATACGGGCGACGAGCCATAAATCAATGCGAGGGGCTAGATGAACACCTCACACGAATGCAAATTTCAGTCCATTTCGAACTCATAGGCAACTGCAAAAGGAAATTTCTAGAATAATGAGACATTTGAAGCAGCCAAGCTCATCTGGCTAACAAACAGCCAACCGAAAGCGTTCCGCCCTCACCCTCTTGGCGGATCGATTGGCGGACGGGAATTGTCCTCATCTTTACGGGAATAACCCATCTTCTTGGACCTCTGCTTCACCAGATTCAGTACTTTCAAATTCGTACAATCATTACTCTGACTGATTCAGCTCATCCAGTAACTCAGGTAACAAATTACTCTTTTACAAGTCCCACAATAATATTAGTTGAGAACTAACAGCTCTGCAGCAAGGGGAAAACATCAGAATTGAGCAGGCCTGAAAGCTCTAAAAAAAGCTCAAAAAAGACACCAAAAAAGTGAAAAAACAATCGCAAGGGAAGTCTTCCAATCCGATTTCCTGAATTCCAAGCAAGGCACCTCGGCATTTTCGTGAAGCCAACAAAATAAAAAAAGGAAGCCCACGTCAAAAATCAAAAATACCTCCTTAATGAACAGAGCATGATGTCCAATGGTAGGAGAACTGAGATCCAGGCCGGAGTCAAGGCTACGCATTCCCGGACGATGCATCCTGGACAAAAGTGGACGGCCGTTACCACGATTAGGTGAAAACAGAGGTGCTGAAAACTACTACCATTACCCCAGATCATCATGACATTCTACCTACTACAGCGATCACAAGCAATAGGGCAATATGAAAGAGGCGTATTCAAAGCGTTACGGTAGCATTTGAGCAGGTTATCAGGGTGATGTGGGCTGCTACATATTAGCAGGGCCATATTCAATAGGCCAAGGACATCCGAAGGCTTACAAAAACTGGCTTTTCAATTCGAAAAATGTCGGGGCAACGGCTCTTCTGAAACCGATCACATAACCTCTACGGCTACGAAAATCTCCATCAACACAATCCCTCTCAAACTAGAAAGTAATCGCGGAAATCCCGATAAAAGAAAGAAAATCATTACAAAATCTCTGGCCTATCAGACTTCTGCTCAAAGGCATTAGAGAAGCATAAGCAATGTGGATCTGTAACATGAAAACAGGTTGGAAGCTTCAAGCTCAAAAAGGAAATCCGCTGACAACCTGAGAAATATTCAATGTACCTTCTCGGTCTCTATAGTTTTTGCCACCAATGGAAGTTGAACGAAGGGGTCTGCACTCACAAAGTGGCATGCCTCCATCGGTGGAAGCTGACGCTCTGGCTGAAGCTGACAATGCTGGTGGTGATGGAGGTGTTGCTGGCCCGGACGAGGTTAACTGAAAGTTTTTTGGATTAAAATTTTTGCAGAACAATCAATGCAATTCTAACATGCATAGACTTTAAAGTATTTCACAGAATGGTCCATTTCTTTTAGGAAAAACCCTTCAGCACACCGATATGCTTCCAGTTTCACTCAACAACCGTCCGTCATAAATACTCCTGAATATGAAGCGGAGGCGATGCGTAGCCACTTGGATTCCTAACTACAGATCCCTCGAAAAACTTCCCCAAAACGGGTACACCAACTTTTTTACACCAAGAAAAGCAGGCGGTCCCAAGTTTGTCGGACAAATAACAGCTTGTGCAACATCTGTTCATTCTAATTCATTCTTAGGTCTCAGTAAAATGTCACTTCAATTCTGAATAAAATACGAATATGTGGCGCACCACTAAGAGGTCAGCACAGATGATTTCAAAATCCTCAGTGATCAGGGGTGGCTCCACTGTGTCAGTTGTACTTTTCTTTCAGAACACTAATTTCAACACGATAGAGTCCGTTGCCCAAGACAAGTGAGTAGGTATTTTTCTCAAAAGTTGACCAAATCAGAACTTTTTACTCTGCCGCTCATTTCATACAAGCAGTATGGAACAGTGGGAATTAAGGTTGCTAAAATTACTTACTAGTTATTGTCCCATGTTATTTGTATAGATTTGCAAATAAAGCGCGAAAATCGGCGGGTTATGAACAACGTTAGGTCTCCAGAAAGCAGCAAAAATGAGGGGGTGCACAAGACTATGACGACAGATACAGCATCGAAGGAGAATTGAGAGGTTGCCCAAAAATGGGTTTTTTCTAATGGCCTTGCAGAGGCTGCAACATTAATAATGCAGCGCATTTGTTGAGAATCGAACAGCTGATCAGAGAGCATCGCAATTTCCAAAAAATAGAATAACAACATAAAAACAGTAGAGGGTGATTATAAAGAATAATGTGAAGTTTGCAGCAGCCAAAATCTGCTTGCAAACAGATTTTGTGCTGCTGCAAACTTCACATTATTCTTCATAATCATCCTCTACTGTTTTTATGTTGTTATTCTATTTTTTGGAAATTGCGATGCTCTCTGATCAGCTGTTCGATTCTCAACAAATGCGCTGCATTATTAATGTTGCAGCCTCTGCAAGGCCATTAGAAAAAACACCATTTTTGGGTGTGTACATCGGCAGAGCCGGCTTCCGATCCTTTATTACCCCTATCTATACCGCTTGTCGACCCGACAGCATCCCATGTACTACCTATGGAGGCCAAAGTTTTATCCAAAGGAAAATCTCAGTCATCTTTTCATGGGAATCGTTTGGGTTCTCAGTCGAGAAATGCCATTAAAACCTATGAACTATAATTTTCGAGCAAAGTACCACCTTTATAACCTTGCTTCATAGCTATTAATTATGGATGAATACAAAAGAACTCTTTCTCCTCACGCTTCAATTTGACGAAATTAAATTCGTTTTGAAAAAAATGTCGAGTTAAACCACAGTAAAGTAGATGAGAGCAGCTACTCACCGACGCTGTACGACTACGGCCTCGAACAAAATCGACGACGCTCGTCACTGGACTTTTTCGCTTCTCATTCAAGCCATTCGCAAGTGGAATGTCTACGTAGAGTGGACGACGAGGAGATGATTGAGCATCTATACTTCGCGAAGTCGCCGGTAGTACACCTAAAATCAAACGAAATTCAAACCAATAGCATTAAATATTATAGATTGACCACTCTGAATGCTTGGATTGGGCTTCTTTTCTGTTCTTCACTATTACCATGTGGTCTATTTTCTTCTGGTCAAACAATACCCTAGCATTTGATCCAAAGTTAACTTCTCCAGGAATTACTTGAAAGATCGCAATGATATTTTCAACACTGAGTACGAAGATACTAGACCATTTGATAAAAAAGTTAGGGCCAAAAAAGTTCAACCTCCGAGGATGAGCCACGGATGTTAACCATTTAGCGCGATCGGATGCATCTTGGGTTACTCATCTGGATATTTCTGGGACAATTTTAGCTACTACAAGGAAAAAGTCCATGCAAATGCATCTACACTGATTTGCTTTACAGCGCTTACTCAAACAACGGCACTATCTTTAAAACATTTCTATAACCTCCAATTCTATCCAGTGAATCTAAATGGGTGTGCAAAATATTTGTGTTATCCTTCCATATCTGCAGAAAAGTATCCTTCACAACACAAAAGACCACACAAAACTGACTACATTTACGCACTGCCCTTTATGGACCTTCATTTTTTTCTCGAAAAATTACATTTGCTTACTCGTTTTGCCATCGATACTGAGAAGACGTTTACGAAATCGTTTCAGTAAACTCTTGGGAGGCAATGGAGACGGCGAGTCGACTGCCTCCGAGTCGACCAGTGCAGTCATAAAGGAGTGAGCCAGTATAGTTGCTTATTCGGCTCTCAATCTATCTGTATATTCAGTCAGTAGGTTCAGCTTGCAAAATCAATTTCGCGATAGAAAGCGATCATTGACAAAATTTGAAAGTACGGTAGGAAAGAATAGGCATAACGAGCCTCAAATTCAGTACATCGCACCAAATAAAGCGTGAAGCAGGATTTGTTCATTCAGTAAGATAGAGGACTTCGCNAGACTGATTTGAGAGCAAAATGACGAGTGGAGAACTCATGAAAAGGTCAGAGTGGTCGATTGCCACCAAATTGGCAAAAAACCCTTATTTCCCTCTTAATAATGGGTAGTTTTAAGAAATTTATGCACATCCGATGAATGACTGACAACTTGGCTGCCGAAGGGTATATGGGCAGAATAAATCTTCGAATATGAGCCTTGAAACGATTCATATCAGTGCCCTATTGCTCTCCACCCCTTCTTCGATAAATCCTTTTTCAGCCATGGGGTTTATGGTCTTTTCACTAGCAATGCATCTTTTTCTCCCCTATCTAACGCTGCAAACTGATTACTATTTTTCTTTTGATTTCCAAAATGGGGGCAAACCCAGGCCGATCTTACTTGGGGAAATTTTTTATGGGGCCAAACACCCATCGTAAATAGTTCGCTTCGGTAGCATCAATGATAACGACAAGAAATTCGAGTGCTTATCGAACAAATGAAGCAAGACCCTTGAATTTCCCAGCTGACATCAACCCTTCACACTGATCTCAAGGAAAAAACATGGAATAAGGCTGTACCTGATGGGATAAGGACCTGATTCAAGTTCAGCTTACATCTGAGATTTTCCGTAAAGTTTATTCATCAGACTACTGAGTAATTTTGTAAAACGTAGCTGTATCAAACACATGAAAGACTTTTAATTATTTTTCAGAGCGATCGTTAATGTTAGAGGAGGGATTCATCAATGGGAGAACCATCGCATCACATAAAACACCTACTAACTTCAGTCGCAGGAGAGGAAAAAGGAGAATAAAGAGGATGAAGCTGACGTATGCACTAAAGTCCATAATCAATAAAGCTGAATACGCGTTTTGTATCCCAGGAGCGATGTCAAATCCAAGCGATTAGCCTGGCACGAAATTCTTCAACCAGGCTTTGCGTCAAACAGCAGTGCGACTGCCAAGAGAGTGCAGAGAAAGTAGTACTGCACTTTTTCTCTAATTTTGTCAACTCGTACTCTACTCTTAAAGGGGCGAGACATGACAATCACATGACATAGCTGCATTAGTGACCAATTTGCCATAATTTTGTTGGAATAGCTCTAACGGGTAGGCGAGAATTAGCTTGAAACAATGGGGACTTGAAACGCCCAAAAAAGGCCAACAGCTGGCTGGTGGTTACAAGCAGTTGCCCAATGTTCAGTTCGATAAAGATAAAATTCACACCCGATATGCTTCGTTGTCCCTTCTAGGAGAAGTGTTTTGAAAGAAAGGAGGTCCTTCAAGGGTCCCACTGATTGATGATCTTCTACTAAGTACGAGCTGCTGAAACCCTGCAGGGAAACTGTCCATATTTGGAACGCTCTCTCTTTCTTAGGACCTCTTCTTTCAAAAGGCTTATCCAGTTGGTCTCATACATCCCATAACGAAAAATACAAAGATGACAGAGAATAGTAAATGAGGATGGTCTCACGTGATATCATGCACATCACGGATTGAATCAAATCGGTTTTGTTAGATAATCTGAGAATCCCTAGATCCTGACTCAGATAGGGTATATCAGGTTATAAGAGCTTACAACAGACGATACAACAATATTACATCCTAATTTTGCGACATTAACTGATGCAGAACTGTTTTCAGAGCTACATATGTGGTCTGCTCTAGGAGGAAGCGTAGTGTAGAATCGATTTTCCGCCTTGGGACTACCCATCCATCCATCTCCAACTATTAGAGTACATGACGAATAAGGAAAAAAGCTCAGTTGGGAAACTTCTCTTCCCATACTAGGAGTAGAAGACCAATACACCTTGGTGAAGTTGACTTGCCACTGTTTCACATTTGGCAGCTCCCCACAGTACATAATCAAATATCGATCCTATGAGCAGCTGGGTGGTCGAATGACTAGTCAAATTCCAACTAGGGAAATTTTGTATTAATGGCAAGAGAATAAAGGTAAAAATCTTTGAAGTTAATTCATCCCGTATTGGAGATAATTGACTAATTGATTTTGACCCTTATTCAGGACTGAAATGACGTTTTGAATGCGTTTATGGGGTACAGATGACTTGAGATGACTATATAATGTGCAAATTTACGCCTTAACCCTCTGAGACGAATCAGGTACCAACTCACCTACGGTGGTGGGATAATGGGCTTGATTGGCCTGAGCGAGTATCGATCCATGCTCGATCCCCGGACCATACCTTTAGGGAAGTACGCCTCTTGCCACTAGATCAAACCCACCCGGGGCAAGAAAAAATCTAACAAACTAAATGATTTTTGAAAGATCTGGCAACGTCAAATCTGACCAATTCCTTCAGTTCTGGTCCTTGTCGACCTATTCTTAGAGTTTTTGAGAGGACCTCGCTAGATCAGTGGACTTTGACACCTTTCTTATCGGTAACATGCCATTTCCTTTTCATCTGCTGATTAAATGGGACCGAAAATGGGGAAAAATAGTTACACAGCTGCAGTAAACGATAAGCCTAGCCTACAACGGGACGGTATTCAATCAAGAACTAAATGGATGTTTTTCAATTCTTTTGGAAATGGACATTTTTCAGTTCTTTCAGCAATCTTCAATGTTTCTCTTCATTTATATCGAGCTCCAGTATCGATTGGGGTAAGTTTATTGTCCAATCTATGTTGTTCGATGAACCATTTCATTGAAAATCTAGGTGTAAATAAGTATACCGTAACCACGTAACAACCTCATAGGCATAAAGTGGACGAGGCCCAATTTACGGTTTTTATTTGATCTGATCAAAGGCTGGAGCGGCGCCGTTCAAACTGCTTACATAATATATGATCGGTAATGATGTTTTTGCAGTAACAAAAAGTAACACAAACACTTCAACGGGCTCGAAAACAATCAGCAAGTGGAAGATGAGCAACGATGACCAGGGAGATGCACGAAGCCTTCGTATAGCTATCCGTCGAACTCGGCTTGTTCTACCTAACACTAGCCTTTTTGCCCATTTCCATCGAGTAAATGTTAATTCTCTATACAATTTAAATACTCCAGATACATGGCTGATAGAAGTAACGACTAATACCATGTTAGCAAAAAATTTAAGAAAAACTCAAATCCGGGACAGCGCGCCCCATCCTTTTCGCTAGCCGAAATTGGTTTTTTTTAACCAACTTGACATATCTACCTATTTTTGTACATTCTCTCACTATCCATGGCCGTCGGCTATACGATTACCAACGCGGTAATTCAGTATCTCTCAACTCGGAAGCATACGCTCACAATCAACGGTGAAACTCGTCCAATTTCTGGGCGGTATTGATCGTATTTAATAAGCTTATCGTGCATCTTCGATTGTTTCTATAGAAATACAACTGCTACAGTACTGCAGGAACGAAAGCTGACTCCTCTTGGATTTGATATAAAAGGTAATAGGGTTTTCAAGTCTATGACTTCACTGAGGATATGAAAAGCTACAGATGCAGAGAGCTCGATTTCTCAATAAATTCGGAAAGAATGAAATAAGAAACCACAAAAGAAACATTTGCAAAATGCAATCGAGCAAATGCCTATTATATTGGCTCTGAAAGAGCCGTGGACAGCAATTCATGACTCGCTTTTATTCTGTCACTGAACACTGTAAACGAAAATCGGCCTATAAACCAAACATTACGGTAGCATTGAATCGAACCAAATATTTTTAAAAAATGCAAAAATCTATGCATGCTCGCCTGAACACATTCCTGTCTAATCAGGGACGTTTCAGTCCAGAAAAAATTGCACGGGCTGAATTAATCATCTGTCCAGGCCTTTGCAATTAGGCATTCCCACATTCTCCCTCAATTTTGAGTAGAAGTGAATAGTTGAATTACCCTAAAATTCCATAGATAAGAGCGGTTGAAACTACCGGTGAAAAATGAATTGGAATGAAATTGAAATTGAATGCAGTCACCCTCTAGCTTGATGGGTGGATAAATTAAACTTCGAAGAAGAAGTTAAGAAGAAGCTCCGCCCCTTAACTCCAAACTCCGCCCACTTAATAAACAATTCATGTAGAAAAATAGCGATTTTAATGGATTGCTA